GTTGGTAAAACGTCAGTGATCTATCGCCATCGTTTTGGAGATCGCTCGGCACCTTTCACATCAACAATCGGGGCCTCTTTTGTAGAATGTGAAGTGTGAGTTTACAGTCCGTATGATTTCGTTCCGCCCGTCTTCATCTTTTACCTTTAGAGAAACCAGCTATGAGAATATCAGTCTTCAAATTTGGGATACTGCGGGGCAGGAACGGTTTCGTTGCATGGTAAGTTGGTCTACCTTTTTAAGGACTCATTTGTTTCGTCATTTTCCATCAACTTTCCTGTCATCTCACTTTCATCCTTGACGATTGGAGAAGTTTGTGTGATTGATCATTGAATACCTTTGTTTATTATCACAAAAGACTTCTGCTTCGAATGTGTTATGTATATATTTTCTCCTCTGAAAGCTTTTTCTGATTACCTCGGCAAATAGAATTATTTTATTGCATGCACTGCAAACGCGAAGGTTGACCGATTATAGAACGCAGTGTTGATAATAGAGCATCACCATTTGATTGATAGTGCCTAATTACCATAATATCAATGTGAATGCTGGTGCGCCATTATCAATCTTACCCTTAGTAAGCGCTCGATCTAGGGACGTAGATGTAAAACAATTGAAATCAATTTCATATATTAACGAAGCTCATCGCAAAGTATGAATCATAACCATGAGGCTTTAACGTATTGAAACTAAAGTAAATAAACGCTTTAAAGAAATATTTCAGGTTCCGATGTACATGCGCAATTCTGCTGCTGCCATAATAATGTACGACATAACTAACAGACAGTCCTTTGAGGATATCGACAAGTGGAATGAAGGTTCACTTCCGATTTTTACGACGCTATTATTTATCTGAGAATTATATGCAATTTCTAACATAAGTTTACCGTAATTTTTTCTTTGAAGTGTCATTGCTATGTTTTGCAATATCAAATACTTTCGACAAACATGCGAACTTGAGACTGCGCGCAAATACCCATTTTTGATAGATGTCGTATTACTTGTATAATCCTAGTAAACACTTCGAATCTCATTTCTTTAGAATTGCGCAAGTGTTGTGGAATATCGGATCCTCTGGTCGTACTTATCGGAAACAAGGTCAGCGGTAGGCCTTTTGATTAGATACTAAGCGGGTTCTAATCTTTCATCGTTCTAGTGCGATTTATACGATAAACGCCGAGTTTCAACAGCTGAGGGTCAAGCGAAGGCAGCTGCACTTGACGCGAGGTTTTACGAAATCTCAGCAGAGAAGCCTATTAGTGAGTGTCTTAGATCATTGTCTTTTGCTATACACTTACAGTTTCTGTTTGATTTTTTAAAATAAGTCCATAAGAAATGATAAGAATCATTTACCTGCAAATTTCTTAGTGAATTCATTGCATTACTTCTCGTTTCTAGCATTCGCACTGATGCTGGAAGATCTTTGCCACGACCTGATGTCTGGTCCCAGCGCTGATGAACTATCGTCTGC